ATATGCTGGAGGACTTGAGAAGACTTGATATTGATATTCGACTTCGAGGATCTGGAGTGATGTTTGCTCATCTTAAAATTCAGTCTGCTTTGATTGACAGGCTTGTGGCTGCACAAAATGATGATCCGGTTTTTGTAAAAATTAAAGCAGATGTAGAACAGGGACTTCAACATGATTTTGTAGTTCATGATGAAACTTTGAGATTTAAAAACCGCTTATGTGTACCTAATAATCTGGAATTAAAGAAAGAAGTCCTAGAGGAGGCGCACTGTTCGGCGTATACAGTTCATCCCGGATCTACAAAGATGTATAGAGATTTGCGAGAAATATTTTGGTGGAATGACATGAAGCGGGATATTGCAGAATTTGTGTCTAAGTGCTTGGTGTGCCAACAGGTCAAGATTGAACATCAGAAGCCTAGCGGACTACTTCAGCCTCTTCCAATTCCTGCGTGGAAGTGGGAGGAGGTAACAATGGATTTTGTGACCGGTTTTCCTAGGAGTCAGAGTGGTAATGACACTATATGGGTGATTGTTGGCCGGCTTACTAAATCAGCTCATTTCTTGCCTTGTAAAATCACACATTCTCTTGAGAAACTTGCTGAATAATATGTTAAGGAGATTGTGAGATTGCATGGGATATCGGTGACTATTATATCAAATAGAGATTCGAGATTTCGTTCTAGATTTTGGCAAGGTCTGAATAATGCTCTGGGAACACAATTGGGTTTTAGCACATCTTATCATCCACATACGGACGGGCAATCGGAGAGGACTATTCAGACATTGGAGGATATGCTTCGTGCTTGTGTTTTGGATTTGAAGGATAGCTGGAAAAAACATTTACCTTTGGTGGAGTTAACATATAACAATAGCTATCACTCTAGTATTGATATGTCCCCTTACAAAGCACTGTAAGGTAGGAGAAGTAGATCACCTATTTGTTGGGATCAGGTAGGAGAAAGAAGGCTGCTCGGTCCTGAGATAGTACAGATTACTACTGAGAAGATTCAATAGATACGTGAGAGGCTTCGTATAGCTCAAAGCAGGCAGAAGAGCTATGCCGATAATAGAAGAAGAAAGTTAAAGTTTGAAGTCGGCGATCATATTTTCCTTAAGAGTATCACCTACTAAGGGAGTGATGAGATTTGGAAGAAAGGGCAAGTTGAGTCCGAGATATATTGGACCTTTTGAGATTTTGGAGAATGTTGGAGTTGTAGCATACAAAATTGCATTGCCTCTAGAGTTGGCTAAAATTCATAATGTTTTCCATGCATCAATGTTGAGGAAATGTGTATTTGATCCGAGTCATGTATTGAATTATGAGCCTCTTGGGATCAGAGAAGATTTGACATATTCAGAGTATCCAGTTAAAATTTTGGACCGAAAGGAGCAAGCTTTAAGGTCAAGAATTGTTAAGCTAGTGAAGGTTTTATGGAAAAATCATTCAGCTGAGAAAACTACCTGGGAGCATGAAGATGAGATAAAGAAAAAATATCCTAATTTATTTGAAGACTCAGGTATGTCCAAGTTTTGAGGACAAAACTTCTGTTAAGAGGGAAAATATCCTAATTTATTTGAAGACTCAGGTATGTCCAAGTTTTGAGGACAAAACTTCTGTTAAGAGGGGTAGTATGTAATAATTCTAAGTTCAGGTATGTCCAAGTTTTGAGGACAAAACTTCTGTTAAGAGGGGTAGTATGTAATAATTCTAAGTTTTCTTTAGATAGATATATATAAGAAAAAAATGTAGGGGTTTTAATGTAAATTTTTATTAGAGGGTTTTAATAGCAAAAATGGCCTTTATAAATACCCTAAAACCCTACCCAACTCTTTAATTCCGTCAGCCGCTTCTCCTCTTTCCCGTCTCTGTTCTACCTCTCACAAAAAAAAGAAAAAAAAAACAGACAACAACTTCAGAGGGCAGTGGGGCGTACCTGAGAAGAAACAAATCAAGGTTCACTTTTATCTAATCCTCATCTTAGCATCACTAATTAGCATTACCAACATGCTTACACGATGCATAAGAGGAGCAATCTTAATTGACCTTTTTTTTTGTCTCTTTGTGTAGATAAGTCATGATCCAACCTAGTTTTTAATAATAATAATAATAATAATTCTTTTGTTATGTACGTAATACACCAACCTGAGACCTAGATATTCGACCTCACTTCCCCAACTTCAACTTTTAGATTTTTATAGATGATGCTGACAATGATACTCCTCTTTAACTAGTATTATGAAATAAATATTAATCATGCATTTAATTTCCTTGGTTGAAGGCATTCTGATGTGTAATTATTTAGATAGAAGAAAAAACAAATAAATAAATAAATAAAGGTATAGTTATAAGTTGGTAGGCTATGAGTCGAGGGCATATAATAGTATTGATTATTGTTTTATTGTTTATACTTATTCTTTAGGGGTTCCGAGTGGCACCGAGGAGGCATCGTGAGTAGTATTTCGGTTGTCTTTCGGGTTTGGGGTAAGTGGTGAATTTGTACATTATTCGCTGCGTATTTTTCATATAAAATTATATTAACTGTGTAAGTTTGTTCTGATGGAATATATTCGTTTGTATGGTTGCTCGCATACTAATTGTTGATTGGATTAATGCACGTGGTTATTTGGTATAAGCCTATGCTTATTTTCTTTGTCAATTGTTATTATTGTCTTTGTCAATTGTTATGTCTTTTCATATAGTAGTAGGTTGAGATGCGTATGGGGTTGATTGATTTCATTATTAGTTGGCCTTTGGCCTTTTTGTATAACGTATTTAGTTTTATGGACTTCGTTTAATTTTCTTAAAGCATATGCATCTCAGGTCAATATACCGGTATATGTCGGATCTAAACAAGTTATTAAAACAGGGCTCAATGTGCCTCTATGAGGTTTCTATTTTAGCACTAAGAGCCCAAGTTTGGGTCTTATCGTCCCGACCACGAGCTATATAATAGTGGGGTTTGCCAAGTCAACCAAAGTATCAAAGTGTTGACCATATTAAAACGTGATCTGCTTATATCCATTGCATGTATATATTTTGAAAATGTTGCATTATAATTTTTTACTATTTTAGTATTTCGTTTATCAAGTCAATTTATTTTTTTCTGTTTTGCAAAACCAGTGTCTAATGTATGAATTTATCCACTTATTAAGTTGTGAACTCATTGTGTTGTTTTTATTCTTTTCAGATACTCGGGATTAGGTGGAATTGAGGATTTGTCTAATTCTTTGAACGGAGCAAGGAATATAATTCGAGATTGTTATTGTTTTCTAGGTGAAGGTTAAATAAAATCCTTGATGTTTAGTTGATAAATTGAGAGTTTTGTAATAATGAGATTCTCTCATTTAGGTCGAGTTTTATTTCAAGTTGAGAAATATTTATTTTTATCAAGTTTATTGGAGTAGTGTTGACTTTTGGGATTATAGAGAATATTTATTGTTAGTTTTAGCTCGATGAAGAGTTTATTTTGATGGTCTTTTAATGAATGCGTATTTTGGAGGATTTTTTTCACAGGTTTAGTCTGGCTCCAATATTCCTTTTAGGTTCGGAATTTGGGGTCGTGACAAAACCACATACCTAAGTTCGGCAATTTTTGGGTGAGATACCATGATTTTTATATCAAATGACATTTTGGCCTCAAAAAATCAGAGAAATGTTGCAACATTAATTTTACTTTTGTTTGTTTTACGAGGTTGATTAGTGATTCTAAATATATATTATTTACATTTTTTATGATTTAGATTTCATTAAGTACGTTGAGATTACATTTTAGTGCGTTATACTGTACATACAAACATTCATTATGGCATTCCGGTGTTTACCGCATATCCCCGATATTTCCCTGATATCTGCAATCCGATATGAATTATGGCCATCAGATATTTCTCTGATATCCGATATTTAAAATGTTTTGGTGTGCTATCTTTTGGCTTGAATTGTTCTGTACGTGGATACAAATTATTATATGAAAGGTCATTCATAAGCATATATGAGCATAATTGACATGAACATGATTGTGTTTTGTGAGATATATGGATTCAATTATGCACAGTGTATACTAAACGTGATTATCAGAAATTGTTGTTTATTACACACTTTGCTCACACTCCTCGTTTAAACAAGAATGCATTGGAATGAATTTTGTAAATGATCACTATAATTAGTCAAAATCCTGTGATCTACTTCAGATCCTTAGGGTGTGATTAATTATGCATCTTTAACTAATCTCACGCATAAGGATCAATGATCATATTCTCAGACTACTAGAAAAAAAAAATAATAATAATAATAATAGTAAAGTGAAATAACAACTTACAATATACACGAGAACTAAGAAGGTGAGTGCTTTAGATCAAACAAACTATTCAATGGCTGTACAGCTCATGGTCAAGCATATACACTTTCAATCATATCATAAGTGAATATCATAAGCGAATACAGTGCCAGACCTGTAGAATTGGGAGGATGGACCCAAGAGTAATAATATGTGGATAAATAAACTCAAAACAAATATTTCACTTTTTATAATATTTTCACACAACTATCTCACATGCAATCCACACATTTTTTATCTCTCACTTAGCACTCACGGAGCACTCATAGGACACTTTATTTTCACCAACTCACATCTCTTAATATTCTCTCATATTTAGCACGAGAGCATACCTACCACTAGAGGGTTGCTTTCTCTTTTATAGGTGTAGCAAGTCGGTGCTTTAACTGACTAAACTAAGTCGGTAATGAATCCCCTTCACCAAGTAACCGAATCGCTTACGTCAAGAGGTTATGTACCGAATTAGAGTAAGTCGTTATGATTGAGAGAAGATTAAAAATTAAGGTCGGTATAAACTCCGACTTATTGTGCCGACTTAGAATGTCTGTGTTGATCTTTACCAAGACCTAGCTCGGTAAGTTGAGAGGCCTGGTAAAAATACTAAAGCAAGAAACTAACATAGGAAATAGTGAAGAGCAGATGCTTTAAATGTAGTATAACTCACATGTGGCTTCAAGTATGTGCCCAAAATGTAAATAAACGAGTACACTTCCTTAAAGAAATCCTTGCACTCCTTCAATTTTCCTGCATAAATTACAACATAGGAGGTACTTCATGCAAACTGATTGATAGACTAAAAAAATGCACATACAAACAAATGATTTGAATATGATCAATTACATCAAACTATGTCCTGAGGTTACCTGAAGGGATCAAAATCATAAATAACCATTCAAATGTTTAACCATCAATTTGTTGAACTGTACATAAATAAGTAAATTGATAGGCCAAAAGCATAGAAGAAAATTTGCAAACCGCATTTGAATATACATAATATTATCAAAAACATAATCCTATATAATCATTCAATGTTTAACTGTCAATTTCTAGCACAACTATACATCAATAAGTAAATTAATAAGCCAAGTGGGAAAAAGACTTCCAGAGAAAAAAAAACTTTCCAAACCACATTTGAAGCAGGGAACACATCTGATATCCATAAGAAGATCATCAAAACTATTGCAACAAGATATGACTTTAATGCCAATTTTTTGTTGTAAGTTTCTTAGTATATGAAATTGAATCGAATTCCCTTTAATTGTTATTATGTTGTTCTTCTCTAAGAATTAACACCACTTTATCTTAGAAATAACATCTTCAATGGAAGACCTCCCTACATAAGACCAATACAATTTTAAAAATGTGTTTATTGTTTTTTAAACATGCCATCAGCTATTCACTCATAAAATCTCATTATACAGCATATTACCATGTTAGAATGACATGATTCCACGATTTCATGTTCAGCTTCAAATGCATCTGCTATTATTACATATAGATACCATTTCTCTGAATCTCTGTTCATTAGGCAATTCTAGCATATGTTTGTAGAATAGTTTAAATATGAAACCTTCATATCCAAGACAATAAAAAAATGAAAATGAATATATGGTATCCTAAACCTCTCCCAGCTTTCATTTCTTAATTCACTGACTCCAATTTCAAAAACTATAGGTCGTAAATTGGAATGATTGCTTTGACTCTACCTCAAATGCTCGTTTAGGATCTTATTTAAACAATTTATCACAAGATCCTTTAACTTTATTCTTTTTCGTTTCATTGGACTCTTACATCATATTCTTTTCACCAAACACAATATAGGTTTTTGGTCCTATTTTTCTCACCTTAGCTAGCTTACATGTGTCTTCTCCACTTCCGTAACTTCTACTTCACATACAAATCATAAGCTTCACATGTATCCTCACCAATTGCTTTTCTTTAACTTTCTTCTTTGGTAAGTTAATTCATTTTCAAAAATATCATCTTCCTTTACTTTAGTCAATTTTTAGATAAAACCATGTTAGATTATAGTAAGGATGCTTAGATTAATGTCTTCTTGAATGTTAGATCTTTGCAATATAAAATCAAAGTACTCTTTAAAATGATATGCAGGCAATGAGAATAGTCTGTTTTGAATAATGAATTATGAAAATCCAGTCTGAATGAAGTCTAGTAATTTGTTTTCTTTCGGCAATTTTGGTTTGTATTATGCCCCTAGGAATAAATGAAACTCGAACGGAAAACTTATCAGCTGCAGTTATAATCCTTCATAGTGCGCGCAGTTTTATTTCTTTGTTATTTTGATCATGGATCTAATACACATATGTAGAGTATGTTTCTCTATGTACCAACAAGATTTATGGTCCTGTCGCAACTCTCTATTCTCAGTTTTTAGTAAGACAACATGATGACTATGTTGATGCAAAGATCTGTCATTACTGACGCATGAAATATCACAAGGCCAAAATAATCAAAAGAAATTTTTAAAGGTAATACGACAATATAGAAACATCCAACATCGCCTAAGACTGGTATATCTAAAATCCTCTTGATACTTAAGTAAATAAACACAATTTTATAATTAAAAAAACCAGCAGGTCAACTTCCTTATGTGCAGTATTCATATGTCTCTAAATACAGGTATATTTAAAATCTCCAGATGCTCAATGGCAGAAACTCAAACAAGAGTTGGCTTTCTCCAAACCATCCTCCATTGGTTTGCAAAAACATGTGCAATACAATATGAATAGCAGACAACTATAACAGACAAAAACAATGTTACCTTTAGACCGAAAATAGCGTCCATGTTAGGTTAAGATACAAGGGAAACAAAGCAAACCAACCTTGATTGATCAAATGGTAGAGACCGACCACATCTCCACCTGCACAGAACGCTCTGCCACTGCCCTTCATAAGTTTAAAGGCTAAAAAAAGTTAGCTCTCTTCAAAATGCTCAAACATACGGTCCAATTACTGACATGGTACCAAATTGAAATTATACCTTCATCATAACAAACCCAATGTCGGAGTTGTCCTCCCATGACTCGTACAACTTCTTCAGGCGAATCGCCTGAAATCGTCATAAAGATGTCGATTTGAGAAATAGGGTCAACTAGACAAATAATCAAACACCTTATCGGCATCAAAGAAAAACAAACAATACCATGTTGGTCGTGAGAGCGTTGAGGGAAGATGGTCTGTTGAGGATCGTGGCACGGGCGCTGGCTTTGCCTTCAACCAGAACCTGGATCCATCAAATAAGTAAATAAATAAAATAAATTGAAGAGAGAAATGGAATTGGAAAGAGAAGTGAGAGACTGACTTGGTTCTGGAGATCATCGTCTTGGTCGGCGATCGGAGCGGCCGAGAAGCTCCAGTGGTGAGAGAGAAGGCCGAGCGTTTGGCGAGATCGCCTCAATAAAGACGATGCCTGTAGGCTCTGCATTTCTCTCTCTCTCTCTCTCGATCGACCTTGAAATTGTCTCTTTCAAGTTCTCTTTCAAGTTTTTACCTTTGGCTGCTGCTCGAGTGTGATAGGGTTTTGAAATGGAAGTGAGAGCCCGAATTGCGTTGACTGATGGGGGATCCACATAAATGCATTCCGGACCAAACGATCCAATCGAATCCGATAGCAAAGTTTTTGTATCTGTATTTGTTAATTCGAATGTGTACTCTAATGTTCATGTATTTAGTTTTTCGAATTCGAACTCGAATACTTGGTATTTGATAAACTAAATACGAATACTCACGAATATTTATCGAATATCAAAGTATATTTATTCCGCTAAAGAATTTAATTTTCAAGTAGTATTAAAATTAATAAATAAAAAGTATTCCTTTATAATATATGATGTGTATATATTTCAATTAAAATTTAATTAGAAAATAGATTTAAGATTAGTTAAGTCTCAAAATCTGTATATAAAACTTAAGTAGAAACTGTAAATGGGTTAAAAATACGACATCATATATGCAATAATACAAATAATAACATGTGATCAATTTTAAAGGAATATTTAATAGACAAACGAATCGAATATACATCTGGTCAAATTCTAATCGTTAGCAAACTTGAATACTAAAAAATATTTGTTTAGTGTTAAATGAACTACCGAATCGAATATGACTGAATAGTTATTCGAACACTTATCAAACTATTTGTTAATTATTTGGCTCATTTCCACCCCTACAAAAAACGGTACTTCACTGCGTATGTTTATGGCTAAATTTCAGAATTGCCCCTTAACTTTAAACCGTTATGAGCTAGACCCCCATTAGTTTCAAAACATCAGAAACACCTCTTAAGACTAGGGGCTATCAGAAAACTCACTTTAACTTAAGACTTAATAATAATAATAATAATAATAAAACTATCATGACAACATCAACTGTATTTTCACATGGTTGGGTAAAATTATGTTGTGGGGTATTTTTTTTCTATTGAATATCGTGATTCATGATTTCAGAGGGTTTCTAAAAAAATCTTGAAGTTAAGGGGCTTTTCTATCAACCCCTAAATTTAAGTGGGATTCTCTGATATTTTGAAAGCTATGTGGGGTATCCGGTAGCCGTCCATTTATTTATTTATTTTAAATTTTAACTATTATTGTTGTCGTTGTCCTTATTGTAGAAGTTGAGAACTTGGGATACTATAGTGAACCACAACCTGGGTTCAATCTCAAGTCGGGTTCAATCTCAGGTTCGCATGGAATACGACTTGATTCATCAACTCCAACGACCCAATTTAGAATTCAAACCAGTTAATTTTTTGAAAAAATACAACTCTTTTCTAAAAGAATAAACAACAAGAACACGAGAAATTAAGCAAATAAAGCATGCATACCTTATTGCAACATGATTCTCAAGGTTTTTTTTACCATTACTTATATCAACTAGCATATTTTTTTAATTTGACTCTTACAAAACCTCTAATTCTTACATTTGAGAATCGAACCTAGAGCATAACACATACCCTAGCACACCACATACCCTAGCACACCCTATAAGCCTACCCTTTAGTATTTGATTCCTAATGAGTGGCACGCTTCTGTACCCACCTTGTGAACTAGAATGAACCGGGTTTCATGCAACTATGTTGTTGTTGTTGATGATGAAAATTGAAATGACGAAATAGATATTTTAATGTATTTATAATAGTAATATTTTTGAGGAAGGACTCTATGTTATGCTTCGTGGAGTACAATTCATATCAGGATTCCCCACCACATAGAGTGATCTAATCCATTAAGGAGGGGTGGCAAAATACCTAGACTGTTCCCCTACCTCCCAAGATCCGTACTTTTTCTTAGCAAGGAGTCGGTCATATTTAAATATTGTAGTACACTAGTATCAAGTATTTTACACACACAATACACCTAGGGTTAACTAACTCGATTACACCCACCTGTACAAGTACATGTTTGAGCAACAATATTAACGATCAACATCATTCATTGTAATCTATGCGTTCAAACTTCATGGATATCAAAAATCACAGACAAGATACTTCTAGTTTGTACATCAAATGGCCTAAAAATAATTTGCCTGTAACGGTCTAAAATGCATGTTATTTTGAGTTGGTTGAATTATAGGATAGAAAATATCAAACCACATGATATTTGATCCGCACTCGTTTGATGACATGTAGATCACAATGAACGGTGCTGATCGTTAATATCGACACTCGAATATGTATTTTGCGCTAGCTCACGCACACACTCATAAAAAAAGGAGAGTTCAAAAGTGCACTCTTAAACATTCGACGTAGGACACACCTGGGAAGCAAGCCAAATAATGTACACAAGAAAGACAAGGACACACGTGGGGAGACAAATAAACCCGGGGCGCTAGCTCACGCACACACTCATAAAAAAAGGAGAGTTCAAAAGTGCACTCTTAAACATTCGACGTAGGACACACCTGGGAAGCAAGCCAAATAATGTACACAAGAAAGACAAGGACACACGTGGGGAGACAAATAATACCCGGGGCGCTAGCTCACGCACACACTCATAAAAAAAGGAGAGTTCAAAAGTGCACTCTTAAACATTCGACGTAGGACACACCTGGGAAGCAAGCCAAATAATGTACACAAGAAAGACAAGGACACACGTGGGGAGACAAATAATGCGTACAAGAAAGACATGGACAGGGGAGTAACTAATGAAAGAAGATTACGTAACGCGAGTAGCTGGAAAAGGAGGAAACATGGGCATTAAGCCACGTCCTGATCTGAATTACTCTTCATCTATAACAAATCAGTCATTCATTCAGATCAACATCAGTGACATTGGCTGCAAACAGCGAGAACAAAAGTTCGGACATCATACAATTATGTTCTGGCTGCAACAAGAAATGATGACAAACGATAAAAAGAAAAGGAAAAGATACAGCCAAATTATTTGCACCTTTTACCCCCTGTAAATAAAACCTGCTTGCCCCTCTATCCAAATCCTATCATCTGATTTGTGTAATCGTGGAACATCATGGAAGAGAGTGGCAGGCATATACTTTATCACAGAGCAGAGGATCAAGCTAAAACTGTAAAACAGTAAATTTTAAGCCGGAACATATGATTCCAACAACAATTTAACCGGAGACGGTGACTTAATCTCAACAATGAGGTAGGTGAATTTCCACTTGTTGTCGGAACTGTCCTTGAACATTTCTGTATACACCTTGCCAGCACCATGAGGCCCTCGAATGTAGAAATTTACCTGCAAAAACATCAGAAAAGCTATTATGTTTATACTTTATACACTCAAACCAGGGAACTCTACTGGCTCAAGCCATATTAATATATGTTACTAGCATGGCTGCAAACTTATGGTTGAGATTTCATCAGTATTAATAGCTTAGACATTACATGAAAAAATATTAGATGGATTTTGCAGGAAGAAGGGACAGGAGCCCAAATGTTATTACTTATCAACTATTTTAAACAGATACGGGTGCAGGTACGGACACGGGTGCAGATACAGAACACGACAAAATTGTAGAAGTTAGGATACGCGGGCACGGCTACATATGTGCATATTATATTAATAATCTACATGAGACCGACATTGTTTTTCATTTACATGTTATGAGACTAAAATCCTTATACCGTTTTTTTGTTTCTTTTATCGGGTACAAATTGAAAAACTGCTGGGTTTTTTAAACTAGATTCTCAAACGACCCTTCAAAATCAAACTTATGAACTAGGTATGTGCTAAAACGATCCCGTCTCGAGTCCAATGAGTTGCATAATTTGAGGCGAAGTGTACGATATACATTCAACAAGTGTATCACATGTATTTTGAACTAAAAAGGACACGGATACGGAAGCCTAGATGAAGTGTCCGGTAACCTAGCTTATCAAAGAATTACTCTTTCTCAGTCCTGACTAGTTAAATAATTTACCAACAGTTGCAATCATATCTTAGTTTGAGAGCATAACTCTTATCCCATGTTTTATGTTCTTTCCATAGTTTGTAATTTTTTTCCTAGTACTGCTAAAACTAATTAGCATGCAAGAATATTCCAATAACATATGAAAATCTGAGGAAAAGAAAATGGGAGGTTCATACTTCATTTAACAGGAAAAGACGACCAAAGATTAAAACAAAATAAATACTTCAGTAAATTTTACTAAGTTTCACCTCAACATGCTCAATGCCATCTTCGTCAGTCCAAACCCTATTAGGAATGCGTTGGCGAGCAGCACGATTTCTGCTTTCTGACCCATATCCAGTAACAGGAGAACCAATTCTGACAGAAACCTGACAAGGCCAAGAAGAGAATGTCTGCGACAAAAGAAGATAGATACATTAAATTCTTTGAGAGCCTACTTTAGCTTATCACTAACCTGACTATCATGTTGAATCCTTTCCAGAGCCTTCCCGAAAATTTTGTACCTATATAGGTAAGGAACTGCAGTTAAATAAGGAAACGCTCTCCAACAACAGCCATAAATAAAAAAGAGAAATATTACTTTTTATAAGAACAAAAATAAACTATATGTAATAATGAATACTAGGCAACTAAAGAAAAACATAATTATATGAATCTTTTCCTGTATTTACATCTCAAAGCGGCCATCCAATTCATTATAAAACCAGTCATTGGGACCACAAGTTTGGCTTATTCCCCTATATATCATTGTACAATCCAAAGGTATGTGCAAGTGAAAAAAATCATAAAAAGGCAAAGAAAAAGGCGGGCCATAGAGTAGATGTTCATCACAGCACTAGCTGCTTGTTTTCCCTTCAGCCAATCTCTGGAACTTGACATAAACTCTAAAACCAACCCTAGTGCCTTTTGAGTTTTTAAACTAAAATTCCGAACCTCCTTTAGCCACACAGTTTTAAGGTTCAAGATCATGTCAACTCTCCACTTATCCCGATAGACATTACACAAGTGAAATCAATGATATGCAATTTAAAGAAAGAAGTGAAGGAAACATACTCCTTAGGCTCGAAGATTAGCTCCTTGAAAACAGCATAAGCAGCAAACCCTGCAACTCCAAGACCAGCAAGTATTATAACACTGTATGAAGCACCTTCTGTGAAGGTAACTGGCTTTTCAGGAATATGATATGTGGGAGCATCAAATGGATCATCAACGGTGGATATATCTTTTCTAGTCCCCTGTATAAAAATAGTAAAATGGAAATTTTGTCTCCTTCGAAATGTAAATAGCAGTTAATGTAACATGATGATGATTATGAACAAAAAAGTAATACTTACACAACATGAAAACTATAATAAAAAAAAGTAAAGTATAGACTCTCAAATCAACATCGTGCAGTGATACAGTAATTTGAAAGATGGATTCTCTATCAAAAGTAATTTCTTCAGACACTTCTTATGTGATAATCCATTGACCTGTAAGTTTCACAATCATGACAATCCATGGTTGCGGATTCTCAAAAACATTATTGAGACCCGCAAAAGCAGTTCAAATTAGTAGGCTTGGTATAAAACAGAGTACACGTGGTAAACAGTGCTCTAAACGAAAAGCCGCGCCGTAAAAAACTTCTCAACCGTCTGATCTTTCATCCTTATATCAGGTTTGTAAATCAAGATGAGTGGAGCAAATTGGACATGCATTGAACCACAAAGTTCTCATGACCATTAGATTGAGAACTGACCTCAAAGGACCATGGCATGCCCCTATATATCTATATACGGTGGGGTTTAAGGTAACTGCACACAGCACACGTAAGTTACCCAGGGGTTAGTTGCTGAACCTATTTAAGACTTGAATCACTAATATGGAGGCAGTGCTGGAGGCAATGATCTGATCCTCTGCTCTTGTTTTTTGCAAGGTTTTAAATGTCGGCCGACATGTCCGACATATCGGCCGACATGTCCGACATATGAGCCGACATGTCCGACATATGAGCCGACATGTCGGTTTGAGGACTTGAGCGACACGATATAGGCGTTTTCAACTCGTATGTCGGTTTTCAGGACCAAATTGGAAATATCGGGGGTCATATCGGGCATATAGTCCGATTTTTCAGCCTTGAAAAATTGACCAATATGGCCCTATTTTTTAGATCTGTTTTTTGTTATCAGGTTTGAGTTTAGTGATAAAAATCCAAGCTCGTTTGACCCGTTCTCATGTTTAAGAGTTTCTTATGAACCCGATAGAAAGAAAAGAGAAAAATTAGGTGTACAGCAACCGATCAGTCGATCACTCCTTTCGTGAACGACGACATCCTTCCCCCACCTCCATCTCGGACCCCGGTCGTCCATCTCCTGTTGCGCCCCGAAATCCGATCCCCAACCGAACTCGAGGGCGGTAGGGTATCCCGTCGTCGGGATAAAGGGAAGAAGGTGGTCGGTGACTCATCCGAAGGACCCCGAGCAGACAAAGAAGAAGAGCCCTCACACTGTCTCCTTGCGACGTCGGAATCCACCCATCGCCGGTGCCGCCCCTAGAATTTATAAAATATGCTTATATCGAATTTAGGAACGCTTAGATTACATTTAGGATATGATATTATACATATGTCACATGTGCACCACCAGATATGGCAATCCAATATTTAGTCTATGTCCCCCGATAAATCCCTGATTTTCGCTATCCGACATGGATTTCAACAGTCTGATATGAACCCGATATCCGACATTTAAAACCTTGGTTTTTTGTGACGCTACTCCCTCCCTCCCTCCCTCCCTCTCCTCTTCTTCTCTGTAAGACTATAACCTCATTCTCAACAACACACGGATGCTCTTTTGTCAACCAAGTCTAGCAATTCCCAAAATCCAACCTGGAAATGATGATGTGTTTTACTGGTTGTTGGAGTTATTCATTCTGAAGGTGTTCAGAACCAATTGAAACCAAACTGAGCACAACAAAACCAAAGCCCAACACTAACCTAACCCAACCCAACCCAACCCAACCAAACAGTTTCTTCCTCAGAAAATAAAGGACTGTGAACACGAGGAAATGCAAACATATTTATTCCTCCACCTCTGAACAGCTCATGCGAAGTAAATAAAAATGCCGGTATCAAGGTCACAGGCTCACATAAGTGCAGAGCTAATTGCCTTTAAAATCACAAGAATAAAATAAAAGACTAAAAAACATTAAACCTCCTGTGATTTTGGCCCTGACGATTGTGAACTATCAGATGCTATTGTTCTGACTGAATGACAAAGCATGCATTGTTTTCCATATTGTTCCCAGAGTGTAAATGAGTCGTCTGTCAAATCAGTCCAAGTCAGCGAAATTCTAGGGCGCATATAACATAGCATATTTATGCAAATAAGAGAATTTTTATAATGAAAAATGATGGACCAGGTCCATCATTTGATTCATTTCAAAAAAAAACATAATATATAATATTAACTGACATTGGCAATTAACCGCTTATAAAGTTTGAGTGTAGAACTGACCTTTAACGGTCCTCAGATCCTGCAACAGGAAAGAAAAAAAAGATCAGACATCCTTCTCTAGAAATTGTATGATATGGTGAACTCATTCAATCTAATGGATGCAAATAAACAATTTATACCATGTAAGGTGTTATAGACTTATAGTGTTCCCACTCGCCGAAATACAATTCATTGACAAATGAGCGGACCGATGTACTTCCTCAATCAACGCCCCAATCAAATTGGTGGCCCAAGCCCATCAGAGAGTCTGACTTAGCCGACTGGACGAGTCGATATTTCTCATGTCGACTCGAAAAACGATACTAGTCGGCCCTCTCGTCGAAGACGACTCGCCAGGAGTCCACTCGACCATTCGTTCAACGCTTCACAAGACCGACTCGAAAGACGTTACTTCACGACGAAACAAAAATATTTCTGCTTCGAGCTTATCCTCGCTGACAACATGTCCATGTTGCATTTAATGCTTGACAGGCATCATCATGTCTCTAGCCCCAATAGTCTTTATGACTCATCGGACCACGTGAGCCACCGACATCCCACCACTCACTTCCCCCTTAATGACTAAGTGATATTCCCTCCAGTCGCCAGCCGACACCTATAAAACAGAAGCTGAGTCAGCCGCTAGCGCTTGTTCATTTTGCCGTCCTATTGTGCTCGACCAAAGTGATCAATCTCCCGCTTATGCGCTGAGTATAAATACAAGTACTATTCTAACGCCCAGGGGGTTCAAAAATCGGGTCCCTTAACACATGCATTGCTAAATAACCAGAACAGATAGTTCTTTCTGAACCTCATTCAAGTTCATCAACTAACTTGATCGTTAGAGGTACAACGGGGGAACCAATCCCCACTCTCTCAGGAATTTCTATTTGTGCAAATTCTTCAGACACCCAACTCAAGAAACAAACATAAAATCAGAGAAGAAAGCGGTCCCTCTTTAACACTCATCAAATCGATCATTTCCTGGATCCAATTGACTGTGTGATCACTAGTACATCAACATAAGGGAACATAAAACTGATGCTTATAAGCTGTCCAGCAACATAAGCTCCCGGCCGTACGTTTAATTTTTTGAAGATAGAGAGAAACAAAAAATAGATAAAGGGTAAACAAGCGAGCGTGTGCAGGTGTTTGTGTGTGCTCTCACGTGTGTGCACCTTTACAGCTGCATTTATTCATGTGTGCATATATGCATGCATTTGTCTATGAAGAAATGTGCATCTGCCATAAAGTCCATACCTTAAACGTAGTCATGCTTGAAGAAAAAAAGCGCATTCCAATTTTTGGACGTATATCTGAAAACATATGTCGCACACAAATTAGCAAGGATCTGATTACCAGATTAAAGGTGATAAGAAAATAATTTGTTGGCTCAAAGAGAACAAACAATTAACAGCCAATTGTTCAGCATGCTCAAAATAAAGGACCATATCTAGCAAAAAGGATTAAGCTCCAAAATTTTGCATTTTCATTTTAGAATTTGTTATGGTTTGTTGGAGAAGTTGAGCATGTCACAAAGGATAAATTGAAAATATTCCGTTTCGTGAAACATGTGCACGAGTTCCCCAACCCGCCTCTTTTTGAAGTAAATTTGTGCGCTTTGGTTCTAAATATTTTGTAAAACCACTAAAAACAGATAAATCATAGTGATAATGAATGCAAATAGGTTTTTACCAGCGTTAATAAAGATTGAAGAAGAAGCAGCAGCACCCTCGGAACAATAATGGGCTACCTCCCGCTGCCGCAGCAGGAGATCCCGAGCAATCTTGAGCTGGAAAAGAAAGATCAACGATACATTCCTTTCCTCAAAACATCAAACAAAATCTAGAAAAAAATTGAAAAAAAAAACAAAGATTCGGCGCAAGATTTTTGTAAGTAGCTGGCGGTGAAGGGAGAAACCTACGTGTTGACATGCGATGCTCGCGCCCCGTCTCATCCCGTCGATTTGCCCGGGATTTTACAGAGGAGGGGACTTGCTAGGGTTTATTAAGGGGTCTGGGTTGAGAACAGAACGATGACCGGCGAGAGCTTATGTAATTTTTTTTTTTCGTGAGAATTTAATTTTAATTAATTAAAGAAGACTAGATGGAAGCCCCGTCGGATCTGATCCGGGTTGGATAGTTGAAGATCCAACACAAAACCAAGCTTTATTATTTATTAATAATAAAGAGAGACTGTAGCGGCAGTCGGATCCTTGCGAATGGTTTATTACTTGACCCGACCCGTATGACGCGATGTCGGGGGCTATGCGGCCGACTCCAGCCCCAGACACGCACGCCCCCGTTGTGCATTAAGACAGGCCTTGCACACCAAAAAGCAGCAGTCGCCAAAGGCCCAAAGACTAGCGACCCATACGCCAAGCATCTAATATCGTCTAGCTAGCAGGCCTTCAAATGATGGTTGAATTTAATTAATTAATAATAGATACTATTATTATGGAGAAAATATTTTGCTGAATATCTCTCTCTCTCTCTCTCTCTCTCTCCACTTCTCTTGATAATTAAGTACCCTCTCATCCTTGTGATGAGAAGTAGATAATGAAATGATCGTGCCAGCAATAGAGATTTTTTTTTTTTTTTTTGAATTAGAAAGTAAATGTTAACAGGAGATTCCAGAGACCGGTTCTAAATGTTTGACGATAGTTGAATAGGGTCATTAATTTGTTGATTATAAAATCATCTTCAATAAAATATAAACATATGTTTTACAGGGATATGATTTTCTTCCCCCCTCCTTTTGTGAGGATGCATGTACACCTTATTAATTAGAGGAAAGTCATCCATCGCTTTAAACTTCAGTGCAAGTAGCTAGGCAACATTTTCTTATAATTAAGACTCGATAAGCTCCTGTACGTTTCTGGGGAACGAGTGTTGCAGATTTCCTTGGTATGCGAGCCGGGATGCAATGACATTAAAAGCATCAGTAGGGTGGTAAGGATCCCAGAAAACAAAATCTCTCCGGTCGTGGCACTTTAGAGGTAATACTGGAAGACATATGATCTGACCCTTTGCTCGTCCAGCTCCACAACACGCCTTGTGTTGGTATTTGAACCCTGTACGTATAACGGTTT